CACCGATGCCGCTGAAGCCGCAGCGCCCGCCATGCTTTGACCCGAGTCAACGGGGTGGTCCTACCGTTCAGGCGTGGTTGTTCACAATGAATGTCTTCTTCGACGCCAACTACGTCTCGGAGGACTCGGCGAAGATTCGATACGCCGTGTCGTTGCTGCGAGGACCCGCCATGGACTGGTGGCGCGTCATCGTCACGAAGCCGACCGACTACGCGACACTACCGACACGGGAAGGACAAACCGGACCCTGGGCGCCGTCGTATTTCGTGGAGGTGCCCCAGTATCGCACGTGGGACGCGTGGTGCGCAGATCTGCGCGCTCGATTTGAGCCAATCGCGGCCTCGATCTCGGCGCGACAGAAGCTCCGCACTTGGCGCCAACTCGGTTCCGTCCAGGATTACACGAGCGGATTTCTGGCGCTATGCGAGCAGGTGGGCTACATGCATGAGAGCGAACGCATCGACCGCTACATCGGCGGCCTGAAGCAGGACATCGCTCAGGAAATCCAGCTTCGCGGCGTCACTGAGTTTCAGGAAATTCTCGCTATGGCGGAGAAGCTCGACTTCTTTCGCCGACCGAGACCGGGGTCCTACGGAAACAACAACTGGGGACATCGGCCTCGTGGGACGAACGAAAGCGCCACGATACGCGCCGTCGCCGCAAATGCCGCTGCCGCACCGTTCAAAGGGCGCTGCTTTGCGTGCAATCGGCCGGGACATCGCAAGAGCGAATGCCCGGAAAACGCTAAGGGAAAGGGGGAAGCTGAGCAGCAGACACAGACCAAGCAGCAGGGAAACGCTGGAAGTCAGTAGCAGACGAGCCCTCTACTGACAGGTCACGCCGCTCGCCCGACCCAACCGACCCTCACCGAGTGATTGTGCCGGTTCACGCAATCGACCACACCCGGCCGAATAAGGAGGGTACCACGGTAGACAGCCCTATACTGCTCAGTGGGAAAATTGGGACGGACTTAGTTAAAATCTTCGTAGACGGGGGAGCCAGCCACAGCCTCATTAACACTGCTACAGCACGGAAACTGCGACTGCCACTGGACAGATGTTTACCTGAGATCGACGCACGACTGGTAGACGGCACGCCGCTGGCAATACGGGAACGCGTAGACCGAGTTCGGATTCGATGCGGGGGTAACTTCACGTTTAGTCAGGAAATGCTCGCAACGACCCTCGACGGAACCGACATTTTACTCGGGCGTGATTGGCTGCGACGACACAATCCGCGAATTGACTGGACGACGGGCGACTGCACCGTGCGAGTAAACGGTAACCACATCGCCTTACCTCGCTGGGGCTCGCCTGAGTCTTCGTCGGTGCGTGTCAATGCGATCACGATGAAACGCGCTGTTGCGGCTGGAGCCGACGTGTACGCGGTTGACATTCGGGAAGCCGAGGCAGCAGACAAGGGGGGCGATTTACAGAAACTGCTGACCGACGTACCGAGTGACCTGGCGGCACTGTTAAAACAGTACAGTGACATTTTCCCGGACGACCTGCCGACGGGACTGCCACCTCAGCGACCGCACGATCACAGGATAGAACTGGAACCGGGGGCACAGCCAACAGTACAGCGATAGTTCCGACTGACCCAACCCGAACTAGACGAACTGAGGAAGCAGCTCGATTACCTGCTCGAAAAGGAATTCATTCGCCCTAGTTCGTCGCCCTTCGCCGCACCCATACTGTTCACACCGAAAAAGGACGGGGGGTTTCGCATGTGTATCGACTACAGGGCACTGAACAGGGTTACCATCAAATCCCGTTACCCCATCCCACGAGCCGACGAACTGATCGACCAACTGCGCACAGCCCGGGTTTTCTCGAAAATCGACCTCCGAGGAGGCTACCACCAAATCCGCGTCAACCCACCCGACTGCCCTAAAACCGCATTCCGAACACGCTACGGATCCTTCGAATACACCGTCATGCCATTCGGACTGACCAACGCCCCCGCCACTTTCCAAATGACCATGAACGAAACATTCCGCCCACTTTTAGATACGTGCGTCATCGTTTATCTGGACGACATACTGATTTACAGCCCTGACAGAGCACAGCACTTACAAGACATCGAAGCAGTTTTTAAAATCCTGAGTGAGAACCGCCTACTGACCAAAGCATCTAAGTGTGAGTTTTTACAGGACCGCCTGGAGTTTTTGGGACATGTTATTTCAGCTGCAGGAGTGGAAATAGACCCGAAGAAAATTGCGACGATTCAGGCTTGGCACGCGCCGACCAACTTGACCGAGTTGCAGAGTTTCCTGGGGTTCGTCAACTACGTGCGCCGGTTCGTCCCCGACATGGCGAAGCTGACTGCCCCGTTGATCGACCTGCTGAGGAAGGGGATTGAGTACACGTGGGGGGAGAAAGAGCAAGCTGCCTTCTCGGCCCTCAAAAATATTTTGTGCTCCCCGCCCGTCCTTCACATTGCAGATCCCCACCGTCCGTTCGAGCTCGTCACCGACGCAAGTGACATCGCTGTGGGAGCAGTACTGTTGCAGGACTTCGGGAACGGCCTCCAGCCAATCGCGTACGAGTCCCGCAAACTACACCCGCCCGAACGTAACTACCCGATACACGACCGCGAGATGCTAGCGATCGTGCACGCATTCAAAGTTTGGCGATGTTACCTGACTGGCGCCGACGTGACAGTACGGACAGACCACCGCTCGCTACAGTACCTTCGCGCCCAACCGAACCTCAACCCACGACAGATTCGCTGGTTAGACTATCTGGAGTCCAATTTTCACTACACCGTTACGTACAAAAAAGGCGCATCCAACATCGCCGACGCTCTCACCCGCCCCACCGCCCAACTCCACGCCATCCTACTCGCCTTGACCAACCCGCTTTTAACTGGCCTATTCACCCACGGATACCGCACCGACCCATTCTTCACGACCGGAAATTCACAGCAACTGGCAGAAGCAAAAGGAGTCTATTACGTAAAAACAGGCACCAACCGCATTTGGGTACCCGCGTACTCACTACTGAGGGAGCTGCTACTACAGGAGGCACACGACGGGATTACCTCGGGACATTTCGGGGTAGAAAAAACGCGACCGCAACTGCAGCGGTATTATTACTGGCCGGAGCTGTTGACCGACGTACAGCAGCACGTGGGCTCGTGCCCGACGTGTCAGGTGATGAAGAGTTCAAGGAAGCGGAAGGCGGGTCAATTGCAGCCAATCCCAACGCCCGAACGCGCCTGGCAGCAAGTAACCATGGACTTCGTCACAGGGTTACCTTCGAACCCTGGGGGTAACGACGCGGTGATGGTCGTCGTGGATAGGCTGACGAAGATGGCACACTTCGCTGCGTGCAGAAAGTCGATCTCAGCCGAGGAGACCGCTCGCCTGTTCATCGCAGCCGTTGTTCGCCTGCACGGGATACCAGCAGCAATTATCAGCGACAGGGACACGAAGTTTACCAGCAACTTCTGGAAGAACCTCTGGGAGCAGTTCGGGACCAGGCTACAGTTCAGTTCGTCGTACCACCCCGAGACCGACGGCCAAACGGAGCGGACGAATCAGACAATGGAGCAGTTGATTCGTGCCACGTGCGACGACCCCACGACCTGGGAGCAGCAGCTGCCGCTGATCGAGTTCGCGTACAACAACGCCACATCAGCCACGACGCAGCAGTCCCCGTTCTACCTGAACTATGGGTAAAACCCCACAGTGCCCATGACGCCGAGTCCGGACAACCCAACGCCACGTGCACAACAATTCGCCGAAGTCCTGCAAGCTGCCCGAGCCAGAGCCGCCGAAGCAATAAAAAAAGCCAACGTCATCGCTAAGCGCAACGCTGATCGCCACCGCCGTCCTGTCACGTACCAATCTGGAGATTACGTGCTCCTTGACACGCAAAATCTGCGACTGCCCGACGTACCAAAATTACGACCGCGCTACTGTGGACCATTCCAAATCAGTCACATGATCACACCCGTCACCGCGCACCTACTGTTGCCAACCGACTGGTACATCAGCCCTTCGTTCCACGTCAGCCTACTTCGCCCATACATCCCGACCACAAGTCAACTGCCGCGTCACCGGCCACAATCAATGACTCGCCCTGCATCAGAGCCGATCATCGAGCCCGAAAAAAATCTGAGCCATCGGATCCGCCACCCCACGGGAATCAGGAGGATTGAATTCCTCGTTCGCTGGAAAGACCGCACGCCAACTGAAGATAGCTGGGTGCCCCCGCGCAACATCGAAAATCACCCTGCCCTGCAAGTGTACCTGAGGAGCCGGGGATTCCGCGATATACACGCACTCGCGTAGCGGAGGGGGCTTCTTAAGGGGGGGGGGTAGTGTAAGGAATTTTCTCGGCATTCCTTACGGAGCCGACTACATCGCGTACAGCAACAGCCGATTGTTCGCCCGTTACTGCTAACGGAACTTCGCCGGCTTCGCGCGCACCGTTTTGCCAAACCTCGCACTGCTGGCATGGCCGTATCGGCCTACGCTTCGGGACTAGCCCGAGCCTCGCTCCAGCATAGCATTAGCAAGCTCGCACGCACCGCGTTACCGTTTTGCATGTTTCGCGTATAAATGTTCGCTCATGCCTTCGCTCACATTTTGTACTCGTTTGACACCTTAGTGCAATTCTCGCTACTTCGATTCATTGCACCCGTAACACTTCTCGTGAAATATGAATGCACTGCTGGTTATCTTTTTCATTGTTGAGAGATGATTATTGTTAATCAACCTTACCAGGTATATTGCAAAATTATTAAAGAAAGAAACCTAAATAGCATTATCAATCGAGACAGACCCCATTTCTTCAACTACAATGGCCAAGCCGTGTCATGGCGTGAATTTTGAGTCCTCATAAGTCACCATGGCTCCGCCCTGGGGCTTTATTGGACAAAATCCAGCCAGGATGAATCTTCAACCAACCATCTCAGATCCCATGCACTCCATTACGATAGTCACGCCTTGTCAGCACTCAGTACAGTCATGGCAGCAGCAATGATACAAGTTACAGCCACAGCTTCATGTCTCGAAGACAAACCTCCTGCTGCCTGCCATCCTCCCGACAGCTCACCTGCACAGCCACTATCTCTCTCCTATGCGCCTCCAGCCATGCTCTGTCCCCTACCGCCCTCCACCCAGGGGGGAATAACTGCTCTGGAAGTACCCCCACGCTCGCTCCTGTATCTCCTGTGCCTCTTGTGCCTCCTCCCGTACCTGCTCCCGTACGTGCTTCCGTACCTGCTTCAGTACCTGCTTCCATGCCTGCGTCCACAGCTCCTTCCGAACCTACAGCGAACCCATCCTCCTCAACTCCCACGAGACTCTCTCCCCGAACCATCTCCACCACAGCGTGATTGAGCGCTGTGCTAAGAACCTCCGGACCAGAAAACACCCCTGAACCACCCCTTGCTGCTGCCGCACCTGCCGTCACATATCCCCTTAAAGCCCCAACAGCCCACCGATGCACCATGGCTTGCACAGCAGGGGAGGGGCGAAGAGCCATGAGCCATGGAGAGAGGGACCCCAGGAGGGACGGTGCGAGGGCGGTGGTGTTGGGGGGTGCAGGGGCTGCTGCCTGCTGCCTGTTCTCTGCTGCCCCTTGCGCTGGTGGCGTGTCTGGCTGCTGCTGCTGCTGCTGCTGCTGCTGCAGAGGCGGGTCTTGGTGGGAGAGGGAGGGCAGCACGAGGGAATGGGATGGCGGGAAGTAGCGGCGAGGGTCACGCAGCCACACCGAGTTGATGTCGCTGGGAGGCAAATGGAGGGAAGGGCGCAAGGCGGCACGAGGGGGGGCGAGGGAAAGAAAGCGTGAAGGGTGAGTTTTGGGAAAATAGAATGATGGTGGGAAGGAGGGTTGGGCGTCACACACCGACAGCAAGTTGATGGAGCAGAGAGGTCTAGTTTTGAGGCGCCTCAAAACTGGGTTGGGCGTCACACAACGACAGCAAGTTGATGTTGCAGAGAGGTCTAGTTTTGAGGCGCCTCAAAACTGGGTTGGGCGTCACACAACGACAGCAAGTTGATGTTGCAGAGAGGTCTAGTTTTGAGGCGCCTCAAAACTGGGTTTGGCGTCACACAACGACAGCAAGTTGATGTTGCAGAGAGGTCTAGTTTTGAGGCGCATCAAAACTGGGTTTGGCGTCACACAACGACAGCAAGTTGATGTTGCAGAGAGGTCTAGTTTTGAGGCGCATCAAAACTGGGTTTGGCGTCACACAACGACAGCAAGTTGATGTTGCAGAGAGGTCTAGTTTTGAGGCGCCTCAAAACTGGGTTGGGCGTCACACAACGACAGCAAGTTGATGTTGCAGAGAGGAAAGGAGGGTGAAGGGACAGGGGGAGGGGGGTGAGGGGAAGAGAGGGCGGAGAGAGTGACGGGAGAGTAGGTTGAGAGAAGGATAAGGAAACGATGCGACAAGTGCAGCAGAATCAGGGAAGGATGGAGAATGAGGGGAGAATGGGGGAAGAATTAGGGAAGAGTGAGGGAAGAACTAGGTGATAGTGAGAAGAGAATGAGGTGATAAATTTTTCATGTCTAGCAGCACACTGATCACCTGTACCTGCGCTGATCAAAACTGCTTAGGGCACATTCACCGAGGTGACTTTTGAGTGGCTGAAACACGGACTAAGCTCTTCAATGCTCACTGCACCTGCACCGAGCGAGGTGACTTTGAGTCGACTTTTCATGTCTAACAGCACACTGATCATCACTCAACGTACAGTCTGCTCAAGCTTATCACTCACTCACCAGTCACGGCCCAGCACCACTCAATGAGGTGACACATACTACATGCCAACAGCACACTGCTCACCACTCACCGTACAGTCTGATCAAGCTTATCACTCACTCACCAGTCACGGCCCAGGACCACTCAATGAGGTGACACATACTACATGCCAACAGCACACTGCTCACCACTCACCGTACAGTCTGATCAAGCTAATCACTCACTCACCAGTCACGGCCCAGCACCACTCAATGAGGTGACACATACTACATGCCAACAGCACACTGCTCACCACTCACCGTACAGTCTGCACCTGCACCTGTAGCACCCTAGCAGCACTGCTCACTCCACCTGTTGATGTAGCAGCACCCTAGGAGCACGGAGCACTGTACCTATGGACAGCAGTGACATTGGCAGCCAGCAAACGCGCGAGGATGAGGGGGCAATGAGGTGAAATTATAACTGTATTTCATTTATAGCGGTACTGCACACTGTACCTGTAGACAGCAGTGACGTTGACAGCCAGCCAGCAAGCGGGCGAGGATGAGGGGGCATTGAGGTGAAACTAGCCTGTATTTTATTTCTAGCGGTACGGCACACTGTACCTGTAGACAACAGTGACGTTGGCAGCCAGCAAGCGGGCGAGGATGAGGGGCGGCAGCAGCAGGCACGTGGCTCTGGCCACTCGGGGCGACACGCTGTCACTGGAGCGTGTGATCACATGGCCGCCTGGCATGCTCATCTGAGAGTTGAGTTGAGGGGAGAGAATGCACACGAGCAGGGGAGAGACACACGGGAGCAGGGGAGAGACACACGGGAGCAGGGGAGAGACACACGGGAGCAGGGGAGAGACACACGGGAGCAGGGGAGAGACACACGGGAGCAGGGGAGAGACACACGGGAGCAGGGGAGATTATTGAGTCGCCACTCGGGGCGACACGCTGTCACTGGAGCGTGTGTGTGATCACGTGGCTGCGGGCCACTCGAGGTGTATGTTGAGGCGCTTTTTGAGGCGCCTCAAAAAAAGGCACTCGTGGCACGGGCCACTCGAGGTGTATGTTGAGGCGCCTCAAAATACACTCGCGGCTCTGGCCTCTCCTCTATACAATGCATTTTTGAGACGTCTAAAAAATACATTGTATACACTCGTGGCTTCTCAAAACACACTTGTGGCTCGGGCCACTCGGCGGATCGAGGAGACTAGATCGAGTAATCATGTGGCCCCCTGGCGTGTGCTTCTGCATGTTCAGTTGAGGGGTGTTGAGAAGAGACAGGAGAAGAGGGGATGATCAGATCACACGGCGGAGTAATCATGTGGCCCCCTGGCGTGTGCTTCTGCATGTTCAGTTGAGGGGTGTTGAGAAGAGACAGGAGAAGAGGGGATGATCAGATCACACGGCGGAGTAATCATGTGGCCCCCTGGCGTGTGCTTCTGCAAGGAGAGAGCGAGGAGACTAGACTAGCATGGCATGGCATGGCATGGCACTCAGCAGAACAACACCTTGCGGGAGCGAAGAATTTATTAGTCGACTCAAAAGTCACCTGGCTAGCTTCTGCAAGGAGTGGGTGAGGAGAGGAGAGTAGACTAGCATTGCATGGCACTCAGCAGAACAAAACCTTACGGGAGCGAGGATTAGAACGGCAACAACACTTACCTTGAGGGGTGTGAGAACTACAATGACACTCACTTGAGGCGAGTGGGAACTGGGTGGCTGGAACGGCATTCACCTGAGGGGTGTGAGGAATCGAAGGACACTCCCACTCTCACTCACCTGAGGAGTTTTGAGGCTAAGGGCACTCTCTCTCTCTCTCTCACTCACTCACTCACTCACTCACTCACTCACTCACCTGAGGAGGCACGGAAGCGAGCACAATGTTGCCGAGAGAAGGGATGCGGCCCACATGGGTGAACCAGTTGCGGAATAACGCCTCCTGGCCTGAAAACAAGAAGAGGAGGGGGGGGGAACGAAAGGGGGATGGTGGAAAATCAGGGATGCATGCAACCCACGTGGGTGTACCAGTTGCGGAATAACGCCTCCTGGCCTGAATGTGCGGGGGGGCCGATGGTGGAAAATCAGGCACGGGGAGACGGGCGAGGGAGCAACAGGAGGCTTGTAAGGGGAGGGATGTGGCCCACATGGGTGAACCAGTTGCGGAATAACACATCCTGGCCTGAAGGGAAGAAGGGGAAGGGGGGGGGAAGGAGAGGGGATGGTGGGAACCAGGCATGAGGAGGGATGGGCGATGCAGCAACAAGAGGATTGTAAGGTGAGTGATGCGGCCCACATGGGTGAACCAGTTGCGGAATAACGCCTCCTGGCCTGTGGTGGGGGGAGGGGGTGGGGAGGGCACGATGGGGAATCATGCATGTGGCCCACGTGGGTGAACCAGTGCGCCTTTTTTTAGGCGCCTTTTTTTAGTCACCCAAAAAATCACAACCGCCCACCACTCGATCCCCGTCCCCATCTCCTCCACCTCCCTCAAAATGCTCCCCCACCCACCCTTGCATGCTGCATCAATCCAGAGACCAACTCTCGAACAACAAGAACGCACCATCGCAGGCGACAGTGACGATCACCACGCCAGCAGCCCCCCTTGATGCGCATCCCCCCTTCCTGCACCTTCCCCACATGCTCCCCCACACATGCACGCTGCATCAATCCAGAAATCACCTTCCTGACCAAAGGAAAGCAACGCACCATCGCAGGCAACAGTGACGATCACCATGCCAGCAGCCCCCTTGATCCTCATCCCCTTCTCCTCTATCTCCCCAAGATGCTCCCCTACCCACGGCTCCACCGCTCCCAACACCTCCGCCTCCCAATCCCCCCCTCCCTCCCCACCACTTCCCCCTGACGCTCCCCCTCCCTCTCCCCCTCCTCCTGCCAGCGGCTCCCCCACCCGGGCCTCCCCCACCTTGCCCTTCCCCCCTGCGCGGCCCTCCTCTCTCCCCCTCTCCAGCATCCCAGGGGTCTCGTCAAGACTGTCCACCTCTCCAGCCTCATCTGGCCGCCGGGGCATTGGGAACAGCAGCACCGGCTCCTCCTCCTCTTCCTCCTCATCCTCCTTCTCCTCTTCTTCCTCATTGCCTTCTACTACCCCTGCCTCCTTGTCACTATCTCCTTTCCCCTTCCCAGCCGCCGCAGCAGCAGGAGCCCTAGAGGCAGCAGCACCAGCAGCAGCAGTCGCATTCCCCTGCTCTTTCACCTTCACCCGCCACAGCCCCGCCTTCTTCAACCCCTTGATCTTCGCAACCTTCCCAGTGAGATAATTCGCGTGCACCATCACCACTCTCGGCCGCACCTCCTCAAACCGCCCCCAGTGATCCTTCATCAGCTGCCCGGACGGGAACTGCAGCGGCGGCAGCACTCCTATCCTCGGAAGCACCTTCCGCTCAAGCATCCACTGCATGACTAGATTCAGCTGGTCTTGGTCTAGACCCCCCTGCCGGCCTAGCTTTGCCATCCGAAACGCCCAGTTGCCTACGAGGCTCTTTGCCGGGAGAGTGGGGCGGAAGAAGAGGAAGCAGCTGCAGAAGAGGGGCTGGCCGTTGATGAACGTGGGGTCGATGGGGTCGATGTAGGGCGAGGGCTGCTTCATGTAGCGGTCGTGGGTGAGGAACATGTCGAAATCGGTGATAGTTTCGGCAGCCGCAGCAGATGCACCTAAGCTAGGGCCAGGTTTAATGTCGCCGCTACTGCTGCCACTGCTGCTGCCGCTAGAGTCAGGTTTTTGGAAGAAGGGGAGGGGGTTGTGCAGAAAGGCGATGTCAATGTCGCTGTAGAGGACCGAGAAGCCGAAGGAGAGCAGATGGTGGATGTAGATGGCGCGGTGGGATGCCACCCGGTGGAAGGCTGCTGTTCCAATGACCGATGCGCCCTCCACGTCCGCCCTCTCCTCCTGACCAAATTGCCCACTCAGGTCGAGATGAATGGCCTGCAGGAGTGGGGAGGGGTGGAATGCGGTGGAGGGGTGTGCCAACTTGAAGCGTGATGCCCCCTCCCTCCACGTCTGCCCTCTCCTCGCTGCCAAACTGCACACTCAGATTGAGATAAATGGCCTGCAGGGATGGGGGGAGGGGCGAGAGAGGAGGGTACGTACGGGGGATGGACGGGTGGCATGGGGGGTTGTGCCGGGCGTGATGTAATGGCCCTTCCCCTCTTTGGGGATCACTTTTGAGAATTCTCAAAAGGCGTGATGTCATGGCCCTTCCCCTTACCTCCTCCACCGCCACCCTCTCGCGCAGAAAAAGGCATGGCAGGAAGCAGTGGGAGAAAGGATGGATTTGAAATGTAAAAAACAAACGACTCCAAGATGGGGAGGGAATGAAGAGGGTGGGTGGTATAAGAGAAGGTCATGAACGAGAAAGGCAATTGACCTGTTCGTTCGGTGCTGTGCTTGAAGAAGGGTTTTGAGACGTCTCAAAACCCTTCTTCAATCACGAGGGTGGGTGGGTGGTAGAAGAGAAAGGCCATGAATGAGAAAGGCAATTGACCTGTTCGGTGCTGTGCTGTCCCGCAAACTTGGAGTCTCAACTCAGCGACTCACCTGGCCAGGCCATTTGGAGTGGGCGAATTCGAGGCTCTTGCTGTCCGCAGCAGAGACTATGAAGTGGCGTCCCAGACCCACCCACCCGCTCCAGATGCATTTACCCTGCCATGTCTATCCCTCAAACCGGAGCTGCGCAAATCAAACCTGAACCGTCTTGGTGTCCAGTTACTAGCTACCAGTAACCAGCAGTAACCAGTTACCACTTATTGAAGGCAAGGCGTCTCAACTCAGCGACTCACCTGGCCAGGCCATTTGGAGTGGGCGAATTCGAGGCTCTTGCTGTCAGCAGCAAAGACTATGAAGTGGCGTCCCAGACCCACCCGCTCCAGATGCAGCACCCAGTTCTCCAGCATGTCCTCGAACCCTGCAGTGGTACAGGGATGGGTAAGAGGGTAACAGGGTAATTGGGTAACAGGGTAACTAACAGTGGACTCAGCACCTCCAGATGAAGCACCCAGCCCTCCAGCAGCATGCCCTCGTCGCCTGCAGCAGTTGCACAGTGACGGGTGAAAGGGGACTGGTGATCAATTCAGTGCACCCAGTTCTCCAGCAAGTCCCTGAGGCCTGCATGCCAGCCCCCGGTGGCACAGAGCGGCACAGTGACAGGGTAACAGGGTAACAGGTTCACACTAAAATCAACGTCTTCAGATGCAACACCCAGTTTTCCAGCATGTCCTCGTAGCCTGCGTGCCAGCCCGATGGCATGGCAACAGGGTAACTGGATGACAGGGTAACAGGGCGAAGGGTAACCGGGTCACATGGTGTCAGGGTAACAATGTAAAAGAGGAATATGGGTAGCAGGGAAGTGTGGGAGAAAGGTAACATGGCAGGGGGAGGGGAGGGGCGACTCAACGCTTCCAGGTGCAACGCCCGTTTCCAGTGTGGCCTCGTCAAGTCACCAGTGAAAAAATGATGGCATAACAGAGTAACACGGTAACAGGGTAGCAGAGTAACAGAGTAACAGGACACCAGGGTAACAAGGTACATAGTAAATAAAGCAGTTAAATAATGAGCAACAGGAGAACAGAGGATGAAAGTTTCCTCATATGTTAAACCTGCATGATTCCACCAAGGATACATCATACCTGGTAACCCCGTAACACGCAGAGCAGAAGACAGGGGAAGGCAAAAACTCTCCAGTTCCAGCAATCGTCATATCCTTGGAACAAGGGCCGTACGAGGGGTTTTCTAAACCTCTCACCCAAACGACATTCTAGGGCATACCTGCATTCGAGGACGCGATAATGACAGTTCCGTTAAGCGAGACGCGGCTGGCCATGTCCCATAGCGCGCCGAGCTTGTCATGAAGATCGCTCAGGCCGACTCCTGCCAGGCGACGATGGACTGGTTCGCGAAGGGGTTCGCGAATAGATTCGCGAAGAGGTTCGGCAAAAGAGCCTGCGACGAAATGGCTGCCGAAAAGAGTTGCGAGGAGGACGACGAGAGAGGAACGGAAGAGGCGTTGACAGGAGAACGGCGACGATCTCAGCGCACGTAAGGGAACTTGTATGGTTGAAGGGTCAACCCCGATACGTGTCAACCGTCGTGTAAAGAGTTTCGGCGCGAACGAAGCGCGCGCTTGTCGCCTTTGAGTCCATTCTGTTGCAGGTGCTTTTTCAGGTGACTTTTGAGTCGACTCAAAAGTCACCTGAGCAATCTCAGGAAACACCTGCGACGCGAATGAAGTGCGCCGACGTCCTTGAGCTGGCGACATTCGTGTGGAGCCTAAACTTCGTCTTAGCAATCTGTTCGTATACTGAACCGTGTGGCCGTAGGGAGTCCCTTCGCGACTTCTATCTCAGCCTCGAGTGCGGTTTTACTACAACGGGCGCATCAACTGTTCGCGGTAACGCGTATGGGACGGTTAGCTCGTGGGGGAAGCGCGCAGCGAGGCTCGTAACAAATTTCGCTTTAGATGACAACGATGGCAAGCATCAAATTTCCTGACGTTCGCCGTGACTGGCGGCTGGTCGCTGTTGCTCAAGTCGACCAGCCAGATAAGCACGAGCAGATCACCAACGGTCAATTAGGGCGTGTCCAGTTCGTTCATTTCGGGTTTTTAAGTGCCGACACACGTCTCGAGGTTCAGGAAATTTCACTGTACCTAAAAACGAATGTATTGAGAGTTGAGTCCCACGTACTGTAGCTTCAGGAGCGCGGACACGTTCCCCGCCACACGAATCAACAGTGCTCTGATCGCGTTCGAAACGAGGTAACAGTTTCCCTCGTCAATCATATCTAACGAATTTTTGGGCAGGCGGGGGGGTGTTGGCGAGTGTAGCCAGCTACTGGCGAAATTGTGCAAGCGACACAGAGGGCACTACTGTAGTGGACAAGACGCGGTGCTGTACCCTTGTTCGTATCCCCGCTGATTCCAGTAACGTGAGTCAGACGACTCGAGGTACGTGCAGGGGGCGTGCCGTCTTGTGAACGAAAGCAGATTGTGTCCGCAGGACACGTTCAATAATGTGGTAACTGAGCGGGTTTACGAACACTAAATGTACGAGCTGGACACCTCCTTATGGCGTGGCAAGTGGGTCTCTCAAGGTGGCTCGCCACCGCACTGAACCCATGCCAAATTATTCCACTCTGTACAGTTGCGGATGTGAAACATGTGTGCACACCGATTTCCGAACCGTCTGAAGTGGCGAATTGTAAGGGCGTGTTACACTTTCGATTTTTACGTACGGTCCGGACAGAACCGCTCTGCAACAAACTGAGACCCACTTGAACAGAGCGTTTAACAAAAAAACGATTTTAGCCGTTCAGACGGTCCGGTCCGTTTGGAAAAAAAAACAAATAAGAAATGTAGCACGCCCTAACTAGATACAGTACATTGAACTGTCACAAACACTCGTCAACTGGTGTGGAGGGTTCGCGATAGCTGGGTGGACATCCAGAATGTCGTCACCATTCCGCCCACCCTGGAATTTCTCAAGTTCCTTCGGTAACTCCAAATGGACTTCGCAGCCGAGCCGAGAAGTTCAATTCGCGCAGAACAAGTCGTCGTAATCCATTTTTGCGCCCCGGTGCTTCGCGATTGGGCTACAGTTCTCACTACAGTGCGGGCAAAAGGGGGAACCATGGGATCGGAGTTCACTGTGCGGCATCCTCCTTACTATCCTCCCTTCCCCACCCAGAAGTGTCTCTGGGATTTGCCGGCCAACGTTTCTTGGAATAATGATGATTCAGCCTTAGCTTTGAGTTTTGACACAGGCAGTGCCTACTTGAGTCCACACCCAGCAGCAATGGGTTTCCATTCCAGACACCTCGTTCACGCACAACATAATGTTCACGACATAAAACTAGGGCCAGTAATTCGCGGCGCTACGTTTTGCGATCATCCGGTGACAAGTGTTGCTAGCGATGGATTTTCCAGCCACAGAAAAGCCGCCACGTGTGCGAGGAATCTCCTCGTTAACCTCCCTTTTTTCCTGTCAACGCCTCTTCCGTTCCTCTCTCGTCCTCCTCATACTTCTTCTCAGCACCCGTTTCGTCGCCTTCTCCTTCGCCAAACCTTCTCGCGAATCCCTTCGCGAACCAGTCCGTCGTCGCCTAACGGAAGACGACGGCCTCGGCGAGCTTCATGAGAAGCTCGGCGCGCTCTGGGACATGGCCAGCCGCCTCTCGCTTAACGGGACCATCATTATCGCGTTGTCCAATGCAGGTGCGCCGATGATGGTTCGCTACATTCTCCTGCCCGCCATTCCCCCAGTATTCTGTTACCAGGTTACCGTATTCCCCTTCCCATGCTACCCCTCCTTCCGGCCCGCGAGGCATGCTGAAGAACCGATAACTTCTCGCCTGTTTCCCTCCTCACTGGTTTTTCTTCGTGTTGTTACCCTGTTACCCTGTCGCTGGGTGAAACGTTGAGTCGTGCATGCTGCATCCAGACCGTGTAACTGTATTGCTGACTCCCCACACTGTGCCACGATGCCACTGGGGCGCCCAGGTTTCGAGGGCATGCTGGAAAACTAGGTGCTGCATCTGAAGGCGTTGGGTTGCAGCAGAGGGCGTCAAGTTCACTATTACCCTGTTACCTACCCTGTTACCCTCATTCCTTGTCTGTCGCCGTGGGGCGACCAGGTTTCGAGGACATGCTGGAGAACTGGGTGCTGCATGTGAGGGCGTTCAGCTCACTGTTACTTACCCTGTTACCCTCTTTCCCTGTCGCCCTGGGACACCCAGTCTTCGAGGACATGCTGGAGAATTGGGTGCTGCATCTGAACGCGCTGGTCTACTGTTACCCTGTTACCCTTTTACCCTTTTACCCCATCCATCACTGTGTCACTGCAGGTTTTGAGGACATGCTGGAGAACTGGGTGCTGCATCTGGAGGCATTGGGTCGCACATGAGGGCGTTAAAATCACTGTTACCCTATCACCACATCATCACTGTGCCACTGCAGGGTTCGAGGACATGCTGGAGAACTGGGTGCTGCATCTGGAGCGGGTGGGTCTGAGCCGCCACTTCATTCTCTTCGCAGCAGACAAGACAATCCTTCAATTTGCCCAGTCCAAATGGCCCGGACAGGTGAGTTCACGCAATGCCCCGCATGCTTGATCGTCCATTACAAGAGCCGTATCAAACAGAATTGAGACGATTTTTAGGCGCCTCATGAATCGTTTCAGTGTGAGAGCCGTATCAAACGGAATTTCCTGTTTTGAGGGATGTGGTGGCCTTTTTTTTCGAGTGTGGCGTTGCA